TGCGCGTTTACGGCCGGGCTCGCGCTCAGGATAGTTGTCGCTCCCTGGAAGGACGAGCGTTTTCATTTCGTTTTATTTAACAGCAGGGGGCGGGGCCTGCGGGGGGAGGCGGGAGAAACCTGCACACGTGATCGAACTGCCGCTAGAAAGGCGCCAGCGCTAGTGTGTTAAGGGGCGCGGCCCCGCTGCGCGTAAGGCCCTGGGCTCGGCCGCGCGCGGCAAGCCCGAGCGGTGCGTCAGGCTGCACGCGGCGCGCTAGCGCCCCATGGGGCAGGGCTTGTACAGAGACACGGGGCCATATTGTCTGAACCGGAAGTAGCAATTTGATAGCCAGGCGCTCTGGCTCCCTGGATCACTCGCCCCTGCCGCCAGTCCCATGGACGTGACCAGATCGACACGTGCCCAGAAATAACGGTGTCGTGTGACCCTTCTAAAACCTCTCACTGCCATCTACCACTAGGGGTGGGCTTGGGTACAATGCAACTGTGCTGCAATTGCAGCCACCCAACTTGCATTTACTGCAGGAGGGGAGGGGAGACACGGGAGTGCCTCTCTCGCCCATGAACCAGCTGGATCAATGTAAACCTGTCAACAGACCACCAGCTGGTAAAGGAAACTCACTATTAATTACAGAATTAAACCAAAGCCATTTTGTTAGTGCTGCAGCGAGGGAGAACAGGTTAACTAGTAAGCAGATAAACGAATATGAGAGTTAAAATGCTTAATCAAACTTCATTTTAAATAAATTATTTTACTTCACATCCAACACAAAAAGTTCTGTTTATAGCAGGGGTAGGGAACTTGTTAGGGATCAGGGGCCACTGAATCACAGAAAAATCAGTTGGGGAGCCACACAAGTGTGAAGCAGAAATACTCCTTGCACAACCCCCTATGCTCACTATGCCCCCCAACTACGATCCCTCACTCCTCTGGCACTCCAGTGCCACAGGGTAGAGAAGGGACAGGAAGGACTGAGGTTCAGGGCTTCTCATAGGTCAGATTTACTTTTCTGGTGGATTTTATGGACCTCCTTAGGTTCTGGGGTGGGGACAAAAATTAGGGGTTCAGTGTGTACAACAGGGCTGCCAGGAAGTAGGATAGAGTTTGGGGGTAACGGATCTGGGAGGGAGCTGCAGAAGGGGGAAAGGTTGCAAAGTCCGGTCAGGAAGTGCAGTGCAGAGAGTAGAGTGTCTGACTAGGGGGAGAGAGAAGCAAAGGAGAGTGCAGTGTGTGGCTAGGAGGGAGGGTGCAGGAGCAACAGTGGATGTAGTAGCAGGGTGGGGGTAGGATGTATGGCCAAGAGAGAAGGTGGAGGAGCAGACTGGAGATAGAGTGTCTGGCCAGGAAACAGGGTGCAGGAGTGGAGAGGGAACAGGTGTCTGGCCAGGAGGGAGGGTGTAGGAGCAGACTAGGGGTAGGGTGATGAGAGGGACTTGGGATAGGAGGTTGGACCTCCGTGGTCTGGTACTCTCAGTACATGACTGGTCCCAGAGGAGGGATTTTTCCAGTCCACAGGAGGCCATTTCAGATGGTTGCTGCTGCTCTTCCCTACCCCACTGGTCATCCTGACTCCTGCCCACCCCTGCAGCCCAGGTGAGCAGCACATCAGTTTCCTGCACACCACTCCCCCCTCAGCCAGTCGCTTGTGTGTGTCCCCTCTCCAGCTGTGCAAGTCATGTGCTGACTCCACCGCCTCTGCCACCACCCCAACTGAACCCAGGCTGCCTGCACTCCCCCCACTGCAACCCAGCTGAACCTTCACCTAGGTGGACCGTACACTGCCCACACTCCCACGTGCAACCCAGCTGAAACTCGCACCACTTCCCTGCAACTCAGCGGAACCACACACTGATCACACTCCCACTGCTCCCCCACTGAACCTCACACCGACCATACTCCCTGGTTGCGGGCTCCAGAGTAGGGTGAGGGATTTATATTACAGAAGCAGATTTAGGACTGAGGCAGAGGGTTGGGGTGGGGGAAAGTGTTTGTGGGGTGCATGCTTTAGGAAGAAGTTTGGGTGTGAGAGAGGACTCAGGGCTGGTGTAGGGTGTAGTGATGTGAGTTCAGGAAGGGAGCTAAAGGTTGGGGTGGGGGATGGGGTACAAGCTCCAAAGAGGGAGTTTCATTGCAGGAGGGGGTTTGGGTGTAGGAGAAGGGGGTTTTTTTGGGGAGAGGAGTGGGTTCTATCCATCCAAGCAGCACCTGCCTCAGATGGCTCCTGGTAGCAATGCAGCATGGATAAGGCAATAGCATAGCCTGTCCTGGCACCATCCAGCTTCCAGAAGAGACTAGCATGTCCATTGCCTAGGCACAGGGGGAGCCAATCAATAAGCTCTATGCCTGCAGGTATATATAGCCCCTCTGCAGCTGTGGTTCTCAATGAGTGGGAGCTGGTGAGCTGGCACTCAGAATAGGGGCAGCATGTGACACTTCCCTGACCGCCTCTGCCATTAGGAGCCATAGAGTCATGCTGGCCACTTCTAGGAGCCATATGGTGCCAGGGCAGGCAGGGAGCCAGCCTTAGCCCTACTGCACTGCTAACCAGACTTAAGAGCCCAGGTAGCAGGGCTGACTGGAGCCACCAGGGTTCCTTTCTGACCACATGCTTGTCAACCCTAACCCAATGTCCTTCCCTATTAACTATCTGCCAAAATTATTCATTAGTAGAATTCAGTGGCATCTCAAAATAATGGAACTAGGTCAATTACAAATTACACCATTGGACAAAACAAGTACCATGTACACACAGACACATTCCAAACTACAGCTGCAGATCAGAACTACTGTTGGATATCTTGCTGCAATCCATACAAAAAGGATCACAGATTTTGGTGCATTCCTTCTATCAAAAAGCACAAGAACAACTTTTCATACCCTCTCCTGTAAGTATTTATATTAGGGCTGTCAATCTCAGTTAATATATGCAATTAAAACAAATAACCTGGATTAAAAAACAGTTGTGATTAATCAGTTTTAATCATGCTCTTAAAATAGAATACCAATTTACATTTACAATAAATATCTTTAGATGTCTCTACTTTTTCAAATATATTGATTTCAGTTACACGTATTAGTGCACAGTACTTCATTTCACTGGATTTTTAAATTCTTTTTTATAGTGCAAATCTTTCTAATTTTTTTTCCCCTTTGGGACTACAGAATGAAAGCAGCATCCTCATGCCACATCCTCAGCTGCTTCTTGTGGCCAGCCTCAGCACCGTCCCCTCCAGGCATGGGCTGCTCCAACTTGCTTCATGCCGGTGGGGGGTGGTGGGAAGGTTGCGCTATCAAGGAGGCGCCGCTGGGGCTGGGTCCACTCCGCCATCCAAGCTTAACCCCCCATCCGCCCTGGGCTGCCCCGCGTCCCCTCCACCATCAGAGCCCGACCCTCCTCCACCCCATGACCCCTCTGCCATCTGAGCCCACCCCTTCTGCCCCCAGGCCACACTGTCTATAAATACTTGTATGAGGTGAACTGAAAAATACTATTTTACAGTGCAAATATTTGTAATAAAAATGAAATGTGCACTGTATTCTGTTTTATAATTAAAATCAATATATTTGAAAATGTAGAAAAACATCCACAAATATTTATAGTAAGTTTAAATTGGTATCCTGTAATTAACAGTGCAATTAAAACTAATTGCAACTATTTTTTAATGTTGCAATTAATTGCTTTTTTAAAAAAAATGACAAAAATGACTGCAACATCTTAATAGTAACCTTTAACACCAAATGAAGAAAACCACCACAAAGAACCTACCACATAATCTGTAATATTTGGTCCAATTACTTAAAGTGCCAAGACACAACCCCTGAGGAAATTTTAATCAAAATGAGATCATGATATCATAGCACCAGAACAGATAAACAGTACAAGTTAAATTGCCAGACGTCTCTTTACAGAGGCTTCATTTTGTAATACTCTTACCTACATAACACCTAGAATAGATGCCACATGAGAAGGGTTTTTGGTTTGAAGGCCACAGCTCAGTATGAAAACTCTGTGGAGGGCCAGCTGGAGTGCACATGTTGGGGGAGAGGATGAGGGCTTTGGCTGAGGCTGCAGACTCTGGCATGGGGCTGAGAATGATAGTTTAGAGGTGCAGGAGGGTACTCCAGACTAGGATGAAGGAGTTTGGGGGATGGGAGGGAGATCACAGCTTGGGCAAGGGGTTGGGGACATGCACCAACAGTATAAACACATGCTGCTGGCTGTGGGCACTCTGCTAATCAGCTGGGTGGCATTTAAATCTCTCCTGGGCAGCTGCCCATGCTCTCAGCTTACAGGGAATGCTGGGGTTTGGGATGATGGGTTTATAGTGCAGGAGGGGGATCAGTGGTGCAGTATCTGGGCAGTGCTCATCTGAAGTGGTTCCTGGAGCGGTATCTCATCCCGCCTCCCCCCACCCCGAGCTCTCACACAGAGGCTATGTCTAGACTTCAGGCTTCCTTCAGAAGAAGCTTGTCTGGAAGAGATCTTCTGAAAAAACTTTTCAAAAGAGTTTGTCCACATAGCAAAAGCGCATCGAAAAAGCGATCTGCTTTTTCAAAAGATAGCATCCAATCAATGTGGACACTATCTCGCATTTAAGTTGCGATTACTGTGGACAGAGTGGCCACCAGGGCCCCTGTGCTTTTTCCTGGAGGCCTCTTCTTTCAAAAAACCCCACTCTTCCCCCATCCACACACGCCTTTTTCTGAAAAAGCTCTTTCAGGAAAAAGCCTTCTTTCTTGTAAAAAGAGGTTTACCATTGTTGGAAAAACCCCTGTCAAAAGAACACAATTGCAGTGTGGATGTAAGTGTAGTTTTCTGGAAAAATGGCTGTTCGCCAGAAAAACTCTGTAGCGTAGACATACCCAGAGGCAGGGCCCTGCAGATCTGCATGCTACCCTGGCTGCAAGCAACACTCTGTCAATGGAAGCTGCAGAGCTGGAGCTTGGGGCAGGGGCAGTGTGTGGAGTTCCCGGCTGGCCCTGCTTTTAGGAGTTGTGCTGAGTGGAGTAAGGCAAGTTCCCAACCCTGTTCCTCAGCAGGAGCTCGAGGTCCTGATTAAAAGGTCCTTTGGGCCAGATGCATGGGACACAGTTTGCCCACCTCTGCCATAGGGTGACCAAATACTAAATCTGTAATCAGAAATCAGAAATAGAAACTAAGTAAAGAACAATGGAAACTCAGGGATAAATGCTTCTGTAAACAATATGAAGTGTTGCTCTCAAAACCATTTCCACCATCTGCTTAAAATACAGAGGTGTCAGACGCACAAACATGACTCAGCATGCTGTGCTTATGCTATTGATCACATCTCTTTATTCTATTCAATAGTCATACAAAACTATTGACCAGTGGTAGTGCTTTAATTTACAGATGGCCATTTAACAAAACGTTGAACTCAGATGTACATATAGGCATGCAATATGGTCAACTTCTGGATCTTTTTACAGAATTCATAGTGGTTCTTATCATATTACATGTAGCATTTTTAAATAACTTGTTCTATACTAATGCAATTTTAACATGATATATGGCAAAATCAAAAGCCATACAGGAGTAAAGGATTTTTCCTATATAAATATTTTACTACATACATTCACATTCATTTTTGTCACGGGATCTGGCTCTTTACATATTCTGTTAACTGGATTAATGAAACACTGGTCCTATACAGCTTTTGTATAACAGTCCATTTTCAATTTTCTAAAAAAATGTAACAGTACAAAAATTCAAACAATATGTAACATAATAAAAAGTGAATAAAAATGTGCTAGTCTGAGTTATCGGAAGTTCTGAAACTAGAGAAAAACAGAATTAGGTAAGAGTGGCAAGCTATATATTTTAAAGAGTACTTTCCCCATGCAGTTGAATATACCTTTGGTTTGTAGTGTGTACAAAATGACTAACTAAATTAAAAAGAATAATGTTTTAAGGGGAATATTTTTAAGAGACACGAACAGGAGTTGGGTACTTTGTTGTTCTTTGTGTCCTTGAAAATGTCTGTTTTCCCCAATTTTTCTTTGTATCAGTTAATTTATCAATTAAATTTGGTCAAGTACAAAGTGAAGCCAAAATAATTGTCTGTGATGTTTTTATTATGGCTATTTCTGTAATATCACAAACAAAATACTGCAGCTTCATTGTACAGAAAATCAAAAAAGCAAAGTTCAGACAAATTAGTCACTAACTGGAAATTCTAGAAAACAGAGAAAGAAATGGAATGGTGTTCTAGAGTGATATCTGATTTTAAAAATCTAAGTGGGAAAGGTAGTCTTCCAAAACATAGCCCCACAAAAGGTCAGTTGTATATATGGCACAAATTTGACAAGTCTTCTTTTATAAACCTCAAAACAGTGTGAAATCCATCAAGAAGGCACTGTTTACAATACTCAGAAATATCTATTTTCAATGATGTCCAAAGAGTTCAGGATATATAAGAAATACAATGATCAAGCATTTATAAGAGTACAGCATTCTTGTTACACATGCTTTTTACAAAAAGAAAACAAAATGGTGAAATAATGGTCTTTAAGAAAAACCAACACCACGTTATGCTAGACAAAAACACCGAATCTAAATTTTATCTCAATATTAAAATGACAAGAAGAATTTCTCAAAGGCACAGAAGGACATTGAACTGTAAAATCCATGAAACATCTTACAAGACAATAAGAATGAAGTTTTCAGGATTTAAACTGAAAGGAAAAAATAAAGACATGCTGTACCCTTATAAATAATGCAAACTGTTTGTAAAGTAACCATCTTATGAATTACAAGAAACATTATCTATTGCTGGAATTAAGCTCTTCACACAACAGGTTTACTTTCTTACAGGTCAATTATACCTAACTACAAGTAGTTAAGTGGCAAATTAAAGGCTTAGAGTGCATTTTAAAAATAATAAAAAAACAACCATCAGTTCTTGAATATTTCCTACTTCCTGTACAAAAAAAAAAAAGAATCTAATTAAGTGAGAAAACAAGTGCTGTGTTTTAAATATTAAAACGAGCAGGAGGCAACTGCCCTTGATATTTGCAAACTGTACAATCACGGTTTTTTGTGACTATATGCAGAAAACGGAATCTTTAGTACAGAATATTTCAAGATCAACTTACACATCATGGCTAAATATGAAGTTAATTATGTATTAAGAAAAGGCTTTACAAATCAACCTATCATCAACCTTAACCTATTAAAAAAAAAGTCAGGCAAATTCCTTTTTCTGCTCAAACAGGGGAACTACATACAAAGAAGAGCAAAATAGAAATTATCAGGCTTTCAGTGCATGTGCTTTTTAGGATATGAGTAATAAATAGAATGAAGAGCAGACCTGTTGCTGTACTTTTTCATTAAAAAGTTTCATGAAGTGTACTCTTTGCCTTTTGGGACGGGAATTAAACCAACAACTCTTATATCTTAGTCAGCCTCTAAAACGTATTGAGAGAGGAAAAAATTATCACGCATGTAAGAAAGGGTATTTTGTCTAGCTTCATCTTACATGGGCATATGCAAATGAGCAAACCGTAAGAATTGAAGGGGGTAGGATCTCAATTATGGAATATATGGTGTGCATACATGTATTCTAATATTGACCAAAACACAAGTCACCTTAGTGAGGACAATATTTTGACCTCTACACATTTGCTGCATGAGTATAAATTCGCAGTTCTATACATGCTTGACAATCAATACTGAATTAAAGTCAAATTTAAAATAAACCTCTAAAGGGTTCTCTAACTGCTCTTGAATAAAACAGTTAAAACCCAATAAATATTGAGGAAGATGGACATTTTACCAAACATTTCTTTTAAATGTATATGTTATTACCAAATATGAAGTTCAACACAAAAACTGTAGGAGTATCACGGGGATCTAATATTACTGTCTAAATTCTTGGGCAGTAGCGTTAGTTAGCTTTCACATTTACCTATGTATTATCATGGGTCCATGTCATATAAAGCAAAAATTATCTGAGTATACCAACTACACTGCAGTTCTTGGAACAGATCTGCAAAAAAGAGCTCTCTATGGCTACCGTCTAGACTACATTCCTCTTTTGACAGAGGAATGTAAATGAAGGACTTCGAAATTGCAAATAAAGCGCTGATTTGCAAAATTTTGCACTTCATTTGAATAATGAATTCCGATCGCCTTTTTGAAAAAGGATTTTTTGAAAACTCGCCCCATGGTCTAGACGCGGTTCTTTCGAAAAAACCATTTCAGAACAGAAGGGGAATGCGGGGGGGAGGGGGATTTAAAGGTGCTTTCAAAAAAGGTTTTTTTCCTGAAAGAACCGCATCTAGAACACATTTTTTTTTGAAAAATCCTTTTTCGAAAAAGTGATCAGAATCTATTATGCAAATGAAGCATGAAATTTGCAAATCAGCACTTCATTTGCAATTTTGAAGTCCTTCATTTACATTCTTCTGTTGAAAGAGGAATGTAGTCTAGATGTAGCCTGTGTAGGTAGTGTAATAACAACCTCTATTGAATACTGACAATGTCAAATCAATATTACAACATTCTATTTTCATATTTCAACCTACCCTTTGTGTTATATCGGCTAATTTTTTACACATGGCTGCCAACTTTAATTTGTATTGGGGACTTATTGTGTTGAATTATTGCCTGTTTAGGGTAAAGCTCTTTCTGTAATATACTACTGTCCATTACAGTTGTGTTAAATAATTGTTCTGTAGAGAGTGGTTCAAGACAAAAACTGCATTGACTAAGAGGATGGGAAATTATCAAATTTAAGCTTAAAGAGTAAAATTTATCTCATGTGGAAGGAAAGAGAGAAGGGGACAGGAAGAGGAGGCACCTATAAGTTAGGGACACTGAAAGATAAAAGTTGGCTAGACAAAGCACAAATCTAATTAAATTTTACTTTAACATTAACATTGAATGAAATTGGTGGACCATGGGACTTTCAGTGCAAGGGAAGGTGGCTTTCAAACACCTTTGCAGTCTTCCAATCATGAGCTATTCTAGAGGCTGGAGAGGCCAACCGTGTAACCTAGATAGCCCTCAGGTCTGTTGAAGCTAGGATGTTTCTGAAAGGTTGCTTCATCAGCAACAGCATTGCCCCAGAACCTCTGCAGCCCTGGAGCTCTGCTCCCCACATGCAAAGATTTCAGGGGGCTTCCTGGAAAACATTCTTATGGCCATCTTTCATAGAATCTACACCTGGAAAAGTGTTAACTCTAAGCTACGCAGCCGCACATCTTCACAGGTGATCTATCAGCCCCACCCAGTCAGAGGCTCAGGGCTCCATGCACAGAGCTGACTGACTGGACTGGGCTGATTAATCACCTTTGAAGCTGTGCTGCCACGCAGCTTAAGAGGGGATACTGCTGGGAAGGTCTAGGAGTTAAAAGGAGATTCTAGAGCTCCTTTTAAAGTGTGCAGATGGGTCAAAATGGGAGCAAAGATATCTCTGTAAATGCTGGCACCTACATTTTGCTTAAAATTAATTGTTTGCAAATATATAAATTAAGACCAAAACTCTAGTTAGAATAAAAGTCACACTTGAAATCCAAATCCAACTTCTATATTTTTAGTTTGCACAATTGTGAAATAAGGGATGAGTTTCACAGTGTGTATATATGGCAATAATGAGGAATTTAATGAATATTTAGGACTTCATCTTACTCTTAGATCAGCTAAAGGTTGTTGCAGCGTATCTTATTAAAATTATCAGTGGAAACCTAACAATAGGACTCAACTTTTAGTTCTAATCTGCCTTTCATTTGGGTGCATAAAATCAAGTCCTTAACACTAAACATAACTTTGCATGATAATATTTTTTCTGAGTTACAGAAACACCAAATGAAGTATCTGATAGCAATAGTCTTTATCTTCAACTTATTGGAAGTACTCATACAATTTAATTGAAGTTTAGTAAACTGAGAAAAATGTAATAGCAATTCTATAGATCTATGACATATGGGTTCATAATGAAAGTACAGGTAGGCCATTAACAAAATAGTCTCTATGAGTATTGTATAGTTGTACAATTCATTCTGTGTATAATGTAAGAGTTTTTATAACGTGGTCAACCAAGAAAATAGTTATTTGTATATCACCACCTTAATCTAGAGTTAAAATACTCCATATATTAAATCAGAGCATTAAAGACACAAAGATTTCAGGTAAAGCCTTAACATCTGTATTGAGCCAATTCATATTACTTATGGCGCTTAATACTGTATTTATTTTGTTTGGTTTGGACCACATTTTTCTCCATAGTTTCAAAAAATAGCAAGTCTGGTTATTTTGTTACAAAATGGTAAATTTAAATGATAAAAGATCAGTTCTTTTATCAATTTCTCTTCAACAGAAATTACATGTCCTCCCTGAGAGGGGAACGTATTTCTGAATTCTGAGTGTGACATTTCTGTGTTGAAATTTGTCAGTACAGCCAATAAGATAATATAGATACAAGACTATGGTTGTGTTTGAGAGAGGCATACACAAAGAGCAAGAGAGTACTGGCACTTACACATTTCCCACTTCAACTGGCTAGGCAAGAATACAACAGATCTTGATCCATGTGCGCATAAAGATTTGAGGCAAAGTTAAGTTTTAACTACAGGGCTCTTCTAGATAATATTGCATCATTTAAAGTCCAAACCAACTGAAAATGTGGTCCCAGTAAGTATTCTGTTCAAAGAGTCTTTTGTTTAGAGCTTCTATTTGAATAAGAAATTGATGATAAGTTGCAGCAGAACCATGAGAAAAATAAAGACATAGTGCTTAAACTGCAAGAAATTGTTTTCCTGGGGTGGTGAATTTGAAGTAACACGATTCCGTAGAGCCATAATATCCCTATAAAATATAAAAAGAAACTCGTAAGTGGACATCTGGATGATTTAAACCGTTTTACATATTAGCTGTCTTCTGTTAGGAACACCATGAAATATCAAGAGGCTATTTTCTGTCAGCTTTTGGAGAAAAGGTTAATTGGAACTTTAGATACACAATGCCAAGACCCCCAACTTAACACCTCATATTTGTTGAAGGCCTTGAAATCTGCAAGTATGTTTCTGCTTTGCAACACACCTAGTCTAGAATTGCTTTTTCCTTCATGTTCAATAGATATGTTCAGTACAGTGTCCATCACTGGGACCAGTGAGCCCCATCCCTGGGGTGCTCCAGCAAGGTGGGGGAGAAGCAGGACTGGCAAGCCCAATCCCCAGGGAATCCTGACTTAGTGGGGCCTAAGTGGGGCTGTGACAGTTGGAGTTCTTTTCCAGGAGAGCCCCAGCTAGCAGGCAGCAGCAGGCCCAAGACCTGTAGTAGCAGGGCAGAAATGGAGCCAGCCAGAGGGAGGGGGCAATGTCCTGGGAGGCCAGTGGCAGGGGCACTCCCTGGGCCTGGAAAATTCCCTCACTTGGGACAGGTCAGGTCCCAAAGATGCTGGACCAGGGAGGTCCAACTTGTATTACTGTATTGTTAGTTACATTTTTCTCCTTCCTTGAGCTTTTCCTTTCCCACTTAAATTAATGGCCAGCTCCATCTTGTTTCTACCTGAGTAAACTACAGATCCCCAGTGAGCTTCTGCCTTCCCCTTCCTGAAATAGTTTTGAACCCAAGTCCAACAAATAAATAAAATGCAATATTTGTTTGGACATGTGAGACCCAATCCTGCAATGAGATGCGTGCAGTTGGGCTCCTGAGCTCTCTCAACTATTTCTCTACTGGTTATTTCAATAAACATATTGACATTTAAAACTCATCCTTCGGTTTCATAGTTAATACGTTAATAGTAAGAATTAGGCTAAATCTTTCTGCAGTATTACAAGAACAACACTGTACTGGTTCATCTGTGGAAATGATACAAACTTAAAAAATATCCTAGAAAACAATGGAAATACTAAAAAATACGCAGATATCCAATATTGTGCTATATATGGAATTCCTGTTATTTCCAGTAAACCTACTTATAATTTTGACAATCATACCGTGGATTTTATTTGCATTAATCCTTGTATCTACCCAGTTTCTGAATCCTAGGTGAAGTAATCAGGTTTGTTAGTTCATGAATATCAATTCCTTTGAACTACTCCAGAGTATATTATATAAAGCAAAATTAATTACAAGAATAATAAATGTCAATTTTTAAAACAAGGTTCTGTATTGATGTATTTATATTTTAAAGCAGTGAAATGAAAATTAAAGAATGTTTATATTCCTACCTCATTTTAAACAGAACAAGCCTGATATGTTTTAAAATATCTAATACTACCTCTTAATGTCTTCTTGTGTTTCCTTTATAGATTCAATGGCACTTTGTAGTTCACCAAGGTCTATCCCCTTCTTTCTGATTCTTGTATTATGCTTTAGTAGTTGTGCTATGAAGATATATAACCAGATAGATGTAACAGGTTAAAATGACTATTTTATCCAAATCTAAACTCCTTTTAATCTACAATAAAATTATTTACAACACACAATTAGGTAAAGTTATCCAATTTGAGGTGCTGGTAACAGCTTTGTTCCAGACATATCACAGGAAGCCCATAACTGAAGTGTTAAGTCTTTTTTAGTTAATAATTTAAAAACTTTTATTCTTAACAGTGCTAACAATTCTTTACACACATTCTTATATAAATCTACTGAGCTATATATTTAAAGAATTGCGTTCTGAAAAGAGACTAATCCTTTTGATGATACAATTACTGTGCTTGTAATATGTATTAACTATATAAAGTAATGAAGCCTACTTAAATTACATCACTATGTCTATCAAAGTAGGAGAGTTTCAGATCTCACTATTAATTCCATTTCTTGTGCTATGCATATTTTTGTCCTTCTGTAAAGACACACAGTATTGCATTAGTACTGCAACTTATCATATCACAATAGTTATTTCATATCACACCTGTCCTGGGATAATAAAGACTAGGAAAGTTAGTGCATGACTGTACTGTAGCAGTACTCTATCTAATAAAACAGAAAAAACAATGAAATTTCTGCATAGATGCCACTTATCCTACCTTCACTTCCAGAGGAGTCCTGGTTATCAGGTTCTGGAGAGGAGAATCCACATTCTTTCTTCGACTGACTGGTTGGTTTTCGTTTTATTTTTGGAACACTAACCTGCAATTCACATAATTAATACTATCTGCAGAGAACCAAACAACTGCATGTCAAATACAATAAAAGAAGCCTGAATTAATGTATGAAAATGATATCCTAAGCTTTGGAGGGTTTCCATTAGATTATTAAAACAAGTATGGATGTTTTTGTAAGTGACATTAAAGTAATTTAACTTTCAATACCTATCCAATTTTGTCACTTTTCCTGCTTATCAAACAGCAGGACAATGGGCGATAAGGGGCTGACAGGACTACACCTCTCAGACACAGGTGAAGAACTAGGCAGATGCTCTGATGAATTCTAGATTTATAACTTGACATCTACAAGTGTCTGAACTTGCTGTTTATTGAGAACAACTATAAAGCCAAAGTGTACCATTGGTGTCCGATGCCTGACTTTTGTTTGGATGGCACCATCTTTTTCAAACTGTATCATATCATTCAGTGGATCCCATGGTCTGGTTCTACAGAGAAATAAAAAACAAAACACTGTGCTAATGTGTGATAATTCAGAGGCATTTTCATTTTCCTGTTAAGCTGAGGAAAGCTTTAAAACCAATACTTGGAAGTGAAAGATACTCGTGTGAAAAACAAAAGATTCACAACTCCCTACAAGTTAAGTATAGAACATATCATATCATTCAGTGGATCCCATGGTCTGGTTCTACAGAGAAATAAAAAACAAAACACTGTGCTAATGTGTGATAATTCAGAGGCATTTTCATTTTCCTGTTAAGCTGAGGAAAGCTTTAAAACCAATACTTGGAAGTGAAAGATACTCGTGTGAAAAACAAAAGATTCACAACTCCCTACAAGTTAAGTATAGAACAAACATAAGTGTGATGGGGTGGCCCCGCCCGTGGCGGAGAGCCCCGTCCCAGCCGCCCTGTACAGCGGGAGGCTGAGCGCCCC